GTGACTTGTGATTTCATCATATTTTTAGTTCGATTTTTGAGTTTTTTTTAATTTGTCATATTAAAAAAAAAGGTGTTATCCATATTTGATTTTAAGAACATTTTGGTGTTACTTTTTTAAAAATAATTTTTAGATTTTTTTATTTTTTATTTATTTTCCACTTTGATTTTACTGATGGGGATATTAGTTGAATTTTGTGATGTTTTTAAGTTTTACTTTATTTGATTTGATATTGAATTTATTAATCATAATACGACTGAACTTCAACAAATTTTAGGAGACTTGATGTCACTTATCACATTGTATATTAAATATCGTGAACTTGAAGTACTATTTGAACTTTAATTTGGGTATGATCACAATATATCCTCCAACATGTGAGGGTTATCACACAACATGGATAAAAAAATACAAATTATTTGGGCACTAACGAACTTGTTTTCATCAACTTTCCCCATATAGAAGTAATTAGTTACTTCAATGTAAAATTGTCAAATATGGAAATTGTTAGTTAATAGTTAGTTAGAGGAGAAATAATCTCATATAAGCAATTTCATGTTAGCTATCATAATACTACATTCTAGTATATATAACATTTGTAATCCTCTATCCATCTCTATATATATAAAAGCACTTAAATTTGTCTTTGTTCAAAAGGTTAGAACATTTATTTATATAAAGTCAAAGTATTGAAGGGTGAGAGACAAGAAGATTTTATTTATCTATGAAGATTCAACTTGAAGAAGAATTGAGTTTTTAGTGTACGACGAATGGCAAGGCAAGGAGGACAACCCGATAATGATTTGAAAAGGAAGATTATTAGCTTAAAGATTAAATTAATAGTTTTTTTTTTAAATATACAAAAATGAATGGTAATATAACTTTATTGATCAAATAGAAATATTTAAAAAAAAATACTTGGAAAAATGATATAAACTTAGGTACTAAAATTGCTAACATAAATTTTAGAGGGTTAAAATTCAAATAAATTTTTTGAAAAATTCAAATTGCAATTTGGCTAATGTTTAGGGTTGTCCAACGATCAACAAAGATTGGACCAATCCACATAGCTCAAATTCTCTTCGAAACTCACCTTGCCATTGTATAAGTAGATTTGCGTCACATGGCGCTGAACATGAGCAAACATATCCTTTGATCCGAATAGTAGATCTTTATCAATCAAAAACTTACGTTCCATACATGAAAAGATCTCTTATATAAGTGTGACCCCATGTCAGAATCATGTATGCTTCATTTCACATTTGTAATGTTTAACTCAATCTTATACTGGTTTAAGTGTCAAAGTACAAACCTTTTTGCATGTATTATATGAGAATCATTTACCATCGCACTAGAAGCATCTTAGTAGTGGTCTCCATCAATATACAAATCATTTTATGTTCTAGTAGGATATAATAGTGTGAGAATCAATTTTCTTTAATTCTCTCGAATCTCCAATTTTACGAATGCTACTACTTTCAATATTACATTCGATGGCTGCTCGAAGTCAACTTGCACCCAAAAAGTTACTAACAATCTCCTCTGATCAAACATTCAGAGACTTCAACGTTACACTAGTTCTTTCTCCTTCCAGCAAAGACCATCCCTTTCTATAAGATCTACATGACTTTATTTAAGGGTATGACTTTGTTTAAGATCTACATATCCTTCCAGCAAAGACCATCCCTTTCATACACCAAGCCCATTCTTCCAGCTACCATTTGACTTCCTTAACACTAAACCTACTCTTGAATTGAAACGCTAAACCTCTAACAGACTTCCATATATTGGAGACATCCATAATATTTTCAACAATACTGAGATTAGTCACTTTCACTTCTCCAAAACAAAATTCTACCCAACATAGTTCATATCAATACAAATGGGACACGGTTCTCTTTCATTGGATTTGATCACTAGTGGTTCAGTGGAAGAAATAACTTCACTAAAATCTACGAAAGGGATTCCTACATTTGGGTTTTCACGTTTCTCCATGTGCAACGTAAATGAAAACTCAAAAATGAAAAGGAATAAAACATTAGGTTCAATGCAACCTCATTAAGAAATCGAATTAAGAAACATATTGATTGAGAAAAACAACCTACATTTGGAAACCTCCATCGACATAGAAGAATAAAACCAAAGCTCTCTATAAGAATCACCATAAAGCAAATATGATTTCAAAATAATGTAAATAAAAGGAACATTTTGTTGATCCATGTGCTTGTTTGGTATAATTGAGAAGTGACCCAAGATGATAAAGCTCATGAATAGAAAGATTCAAGAAAAAATCTCTTAGCTTTGATGATGACATAGTTTTGATGATGACTATACCTGAAGTAGTAACAACACTTAAAATAGTTTTAATGGTAACAAACACTTGAAGTAAAGCAAATATAAAATTTAGCTCAAGCGGTTAAAGATGCACAAGATGGTTGATTAAGATCAAACTATCCTTCTAAATAAAGCTAAAGATTGTTTAAAGTCAACATTTTAGTCCAACCCTTAAGTAATGACTAAGAGTTTATGATCATTGATAACTTAAAAACATATACTAATATGAAAATACCTCAAGCCTCATTATGAAGACTCGATACTCCTTTAGAAGTCAAAGATAAAGACAAGACTTGAAGCTTCAGAGTGTGAAATAGAGGATGGGTGAAAGCCCGTCTGATCGTGTTTGTCTGAGTGATCAGTGTGTTGTAAAAATACAATGGTGTTTATGTAAGTATTATATCTAAATAATACATGTACACGCACGCGCGCGCACACACGCACACTTAAAACATTAAGAAGCCTCTCATTTTTAATTAAAATAATCAAAAATAACTTTGAAGCCTACCTAGTTGATTATGAAACTATCTACTTAATTGATAATTTTTTTATAAGTTGTCTAATTGGTTAGATTTATAGCATAATCAATTAGATAATCCACAATCGATTCTATAATGAATCATGATAGTCTGTTAATGATCACTAACTACTATCTATATAAACCTTTCAATTTGGGCAATAATAATCAATTATTTGCACTGCCTAGTCGATTATGTCAGTTAATTGGCCCATGGATTGTTTCCAAGTTTACACCTTTTTTTGGCCGATAAATAGAAAACTTCTCTATCATTTCAAATCATATAGAGAACATGAAAAAAATCTTCTTTTTATATTGATCTCTATTTAAATCTTTTCTACTTTTCTCACATATTTTAGCCATAGTGCTTTGAGAGTGTTCTTGAGTTTAGTGAGGAATTTTTTATAGATGAAAGCTTGATTGTAAATTTACTAATAGCATTTTTTCTTGAGTAAATTAGTCTTTCTTTAAAAATTATTATTTTCGTTGGGAGCTAAACTATTGTAAAAGTTCTTTGTTTGTCTTTGAGGATTATAATGAATCTTTGTTTGGTTTGTGAGCTCCACCATTGAAAAAAATCTATCTTTTGTGTTTGAGAAGAATAATCAGAGAAAAATATTTACAACGATTCTTGAACTCAACACAATAAAAAGATTTATTGGTTCTAGATCAGTCAACTATAAAATTTCACTCGATTTTTGAGTTGAACCCGGTTAAAAACTCAATAGGTTTGAGATCAACCTGGTAAAAATCTCAGTTTGCTTCGTGGTCAGCCTTTGGGAATCTCCGTTTGGCTTAGAAACTAACCACTCAAAGCTCTATTTGTTGTTTAGTTAAAAGATAACATGAAATTTAATTTCATTGTATAAGGGGGTTCGTGGGGTTAACCTTCTAAAAGCTCTCAAGAAATATTGGATACTCTCAAGATTAGTTCTTGGGGAGAGGAGTAAGTCACTTCACTAGATCGAACTTCTATAAATTTTTGGTATTGTTATCTCTTCCTCTATCTCTTTTATTTTACGTCTAATTTCTTTACTTCGATTTTCTGCTGCATATTCAAACATTTTTATAATATTTTTAAACTTTGATTTTAAAAATAATGTTATTTTAAACCAACGATTTTCAAATCTCCACAATTCACCTCTTTTTGTGTATGAAGTCACATGTTCAACATGTTACCGTTTTATATGAAAACTAGGCGTCAAGTTCAACGACGAAGATCCACCGGAAGCTCAAAAGTTCCATCCAACAACTTAGATGATGTCTCAATTCAGTAATTGCACTTTAATGTGCCTATGCGCGTCGTCGTCTTCATCCCCATAAGCGTCTTAAGAGCCGTGGAAGTCATTGTTGTAGAAACATTTCATCAATCTAACATGCATCCAATGCAAATTCTCATCATGCAACTGCTATCACTCAATTAGGAAGCTCTTCTTCACGAACAAAGTCGTCATAATTCATATTCCCGCGCTGACCTCTTTTATTTCCAAATTCATAACCTTCGCTACATGAATGGTAGTAAAGACTTAGGAAACAAATGCTTTGGGATAACCAATGGTCTACAAAGACTAACTTAATCCACCTAAGCCAAATTCTCTTCAAGGACTTACCTCGCTGCTATACAAGTAGATATGTGTCACATGGCACCATACATGAGTTCACATGTCCTATAATCAAAGTCGTTGATCTTCATCCAACGGTTACAACATCCTTTCCTATATAAGCGTGACACTAAGTCATACTAAAATACGATTAAGCTCATATTTGCGAATTATACTAACTTGAGTATTAAAATGCTAACATATTTGCAGGGATCCTCTCTATCAATAAAGAACCATCACCACTACACCAAAAGCATCTTCACTATAATCTTCATTAACATACCAATTCTTTTATGTTCCAATACAGAATACTAGATTTAATGAATGATAAAAGAAGATAATATTGTATTATGTTTTTAAAGTGTACAATCACAATGATACATGAGGGAGAACCGGGGGTCAGGCATGGGGCCCGGCCATCCATGTGCCATACATACAAGAATACATATTTAGCTACTGAAATGAAAGCATAATAGAATAATAATTAACAGACAAAAAAATGAATCGATTCTGAAAGGCCTAGATAGAGAACACAGCTTCCAAACAGGTCAAACTGTTGGGCTCATGATAGGAGGAACAAAACACCAATTACCAAAAGATGTTGGTGACAGCAGATTAATTTCCATCAAACCAGGAGTCATTACCCGATCATCCTTACACTTCTTTTCAAGATATTCAGCTTGAAAATAGTGATACCAGTTGTTAGGAGTACTCACTGGTACCAATGGAGGGGACACTTCCACAGTTTCAACTCTGCTGTTTGAAAAAAAATGTATTGGGAGTGAAGGAACAGTGTCACGGGAAATGTTATGGTCTGTGCTTTGAAGGTTGTGATGATCAGGCTGTGGAGTCGTGAACTCAGGTGCACAAGTGAGGGATTGAACAAGTTCTTTGAAGTTTATAGGATCCACTTTGTATATTTTGACAGGTGTTGGTGGCATCGGTGCTATCGGCGCTTTCTTCGATTTCTTTAGTGGTGATTTTCTTACTGAGTGAAGCCAAGAGTATTTGGATTGAAAAGGGTATTGATCATATTTCATTGATCCATTAACTTTCTTGGAGTTTTGGGACATGTATGAAGATTTATTAGATGAAAAATATGAACTAGAATAAGACTCCATGTAGTTTCTGTTTTCTAATGAAGTTGTTATTATGATTGAAGAGACTAGTTAGTTACTATAACGTTGTGATATCCATTTAGCTATATATAGATAGATATTGTTGTGTGTATGAGCAATAATTATAAAGGAAATACTATTTAAAGAGTGTGGAATATTTCAATTTCAATATAGGCTAACGACCTAAGGCCTTGGTGTGAGACTGACAAATGAGGAATGAATGAAAATAGAACCTTTGTTTTTGTCTTTACCGTCGGCGGATTGATGCATCATGTAATGCAAGTAGTAGTGACATACATCAAAATGTTGGAATAGAATTTTCTTGAACAATAATTTAACTATTACAGGATATAAATATTAGAAAAAAAGCCTCCAAATTTGTCTTTGTTTAAAAGGTCAGAACATTTATTTATATGAAGTCAAAGTATTGAAGGGTGAGAGACAAAAGATTTTATCTGGATGGAGATTCAACTTCAAGATGAGTTGAGTTTTGAGTGTATGACGAATAGTAAGGTAAGGGGGGCAGACCAGGAATGATACGAGGAAGAAGACTATTAGTTTAAGGATTAAATTAATAGTTTATTTTTTAAAAGATATACAAAAATGAATGGTAATATAAATTATTGATCCATTAGTAACATCAATATTGATCCTAGCATTAACGGTTGATGTTTTGTTTGTTAAATTTTGCATATGATTTGTTTTTTTCTTTCAAATTTTTGGTTCACACCTATTTCTATCATCATCAAGGTGACATGAAAATAATTTATTTTTAAGAAATATCCATTTTCATCTACTTAGTTTCTTCTCCTCATAATAAAGAAATTAATTCATAAAATATTAGTTAACAAGATGAATTATAAACAACTCTCCAACTAATTTATTAGAACACTTAATACAAAAGCTCTCCTAATCACCTAGCTAAGATTTCTCCTAGCATGACAGATTCATCCAAATATTTTCTAAAATATATGATTTTTTTTATAAACAACTATACAATTATAATTAACATAAATATAATAAATCATCATATCCTTCAATTTGTCAGGTATGTGAGAATAGTCCTAAAGATTAATGGCATTTGCTTTTTGGATGTAGTTAGACTTCTTAGTATTGGAGGGCAACATGCTTGTCCACTCTTATAGATCCTCATTTACATTATTTTTATGATGGTGAGTCTATTATTTTTGATATATGTAGTAAGGAGGATAGGAAGGTTGCTGGTAGATTTACTGTTATGATAGATGAGATTTGGAAAAATAGGAACGATCTTATTTGAAATAATGAGGTAGAGGAAGTCCCTACACTTGGCTGGTTAACTTTTCATAAGTGGCATGAATGGTTTATGACTCAACATCCTCACGGTAACGAAAGTGGCCAACAATACCCTACGACTTGGAATCTGTCACCTGTAGGGTGGCTGAAATGGAACGTGGATGCGGCTTTTAATAAATATTGAGGAACTACTAATATATGTTAGTGTGTTCGGGATAATCTCAGAAATTTCATTGTTGTAGGTGTGGCTTAGGATCCATGTACTCTTCCGTCATTGAGGCTGAAGCTTTTGGCTCTTAAAGAGCCAATTCAGGCAGCTGTTGACTTGCATCTTATCATACCCTAATTTTTACCCCAAGATTCCACCTATCATATTCATTTGCATCTTATTGCAATCACAATCATGGATTCTCCTAACTCTCATCTCTGTAAGTTTTGCTCTTGTGCAGGAGGTAGGGGTGAGAATAGGTCAGGTCAACTAAAAGGGGTCTACGGTCTACCCTATATAGGCTCAGGTCAAACCAGACTTTTTTTTCAAATAGAAAAGGTCTAGGCTTTTTTCTAAGTCTATTTAGTTAAAAAGGCTAGGCCAAAGGCCGTAAGAAAAGCCTCTTAAGCCTATCAGGCTGGCCTATTTAAATAAAACTAAATAATTTTATTATTATTATTATATTATATTTGTATTTTGAATTAAACTAAAAAGTAAAGCTTATTTATCTTGAAGAACTTATGAAAATAAGTTTAAAAAACGTTATGATCAATATCATAAGTTGTTTTCATAAGTTCTCTCAAATAAATAGTATCACAAAACTTATGTTAATATGTAAACTTGAACAAGTCAATAAAAATAAGCATTTAATCTCATTGATCTTTTAATTTGTTAGTCTATTTAAACATTGATGTAATTGCTTATTTTCAAATGTTCAAGTATAATAGGCTTTTATGTTGGCTAATAGGCCAAACAAGCCTTCGAAAAGGCCAGACTTAGGCCTAAAATTAAGCCTACGATAGGCCATAGGCTAGACTTAGGCTTTGAAATTTTTAGCAGGTCAGACTCAGGATTGGCAAAGCCTAGCTCGGCCCAGCCTATTCCCACCTCTAATAGGAGGTCACTAAACACTCGTCTGTGTTTCTTTTTGCTTTATGCTTGTTTATGTTTACTTACCCTTATTCAAAACCAAAAATATGTGCCTATTATTTTCATTTTCTTGTTGTTTAAGCTCAGGTCTTGCAAGGATGAATCATGGTTCAGGTAAGGGTATCAGGTCAAGTATGTGTGCAGGTTTAATGGTTGAGATTCAAATAAGACTGACCTATTTTTTGTCAAACAAGGAAGAGTTTGCTTCATTCTCAAGTTATCAGGTTATTGCTCTTTATCATTCTAGCATTTTATTCCATGTCATTTTTCTTTTTCTTTGATCTTTTATTCTTCATCTTGTTAAAAAAATACAAAACCTTGATAGAATTATCAAAACCCTAAAAAAACATTTAATCTTGGACTATGGTTACTATCCTGTGCTTGCTTGGAGTTTTGAACCTATGGACATAGAATTAGGGTTTCCCTTTGCTTGGAGTACTGTTAGTTAAAGATGTGAAAGTCATCTGATACCTTGCAATCTATTTGAGACTCTGAGTTCATCTGATACCTGTGGCTATTAAATCAAGCCTTGGATGCTTTCTATCTGTTTCTCCGTGACTTTATTTGTCTAGATTCTCTTGTGCTCATCTGCTCAGTTGCTTATCTTGTAACTTTAATACAAAGGGAATGCAATGCTGGTTTTGACCAATGCTAAATGCTTGCTTATCTCGGTTAGTTCACTTACACACATAAAGGCTTTCTCTTGGGTTACCTAACAATGAGACTGTTTACTTTGTGCTTTAAGATAGTCTCTTCATCTTCTCCCATTCTTTAATTTTTAAAACTTCTCCGTATTTCAAAATATTCTTGTTTTTAAACATCACCTCTTTCTTAATAATCCTTGACTTTGTCAAGTAATCTAGAAGATATTTTTCTCAATAAATGCTAAAACACTTGCATATTCAAACTCTTTTTTTAAAATTCTAAAAAACACAAACATCATCAAACTCTTTTTGTGCCTTTGTGCACCTTTTTTCTTTAAGAGCCTATTTTTAAAAAGATTAGATATTGGTCTAATTCTTGTAGTGATGTAAACCACTATACTTATAAAAAATGCTGAGAAATGAATGATATTTTCAACTTGAATATTGAGACGTACTTGTTGAGAAAATTCAAGTAAAAGTTCTCCATATCAAGATTGATGCAAATGCTCATTTCCTTATACTTGTGGGTAGTAAGTGAAGTTTTCCACTCGAATATGCCAAATATCTTTTCACTTAAAATCAATAAACAAACAACAATAACCTTTTTTAATAAAAATAAGCAAGTGGTTCCTGTTGAGTGCAACAGATGTGAGGGGTGATAAAACCTTCCCCTTGCATAACCAACCCCCCTAACCAGATCTCTCTTTTTAGCTTTTTAGATTTTGTTGGTTTTGTTCGATCTTTTCCCAATCCCTTTGGAAACAATAAAGTTTGGGTGCGAATCTTGCTTTTTTGAGTTAAGTTAATAAATAGCTTAATCTCAAACTTTTACTACCGCGATAGCTGGCGACTATGTTGGGGAGGTGCATCCCTAAGAGGGTTAAGCCTAGCTTGTTTATTTGTTACTTTATTATTGTTTGTTATTTACTATTTCTGTTTTGGGGTGCTTGGTGATCTCTGTGTGGTGAGGATAGTCCCTTACCCGGACTGAGTGTGCTTAAGTTAGGATGGTAGTATAGTCATGGAAACCTAAGTGGGGAAATGCCTTATTAGGGGTGTGTTGCACCCCAAAATTTGACCAACCGGGTCTCGTATTTGGCTCGATGTTTCGACGCATAATCGCATTCGCATCTGCATATTGCATATAGTGCATTTTTCATTTTTGTTTGATTTTATTGGGATCACAGCTCTCGTCTCGTGTTTCAGGTGTTTTTGATCAGTAGAATCGTATTTTTGGGATATTTCGGTGCCCGTTTATTTTTACCGATTATTTTTGTGTCGTTCGGTGCTTATTTTGTTCCCTCGGGAATTATCGTGATTTTTCTGGATTTTATTGGCATTTTTTAGGGTTCAAATAGCTTTTAAATCATTTTTAGGATTTAATAAGATTTTTTAATAGTTTTTAATTCTTTTAAATAGATTTTCAATCATTTTAGGATTTAATAAATTTTTTAGAATTTTTAGAATATAATAAATAGGTCTAAATCATGTTTTTGCATTTTATAGGAATTAATAGATTTTTTAGGATAATATAGATATTTCTAGAATATTAATTGAGTTTTTTAGATATAAAGAATATAGTTTTGTTTTTCATTTTATAATGATTTTTTAAAATAGTTAATAGCTTTTTTTTAATCTTTTAATATAGATTTTTCCTTATTAAATAAATAGGTTTTTCTTTTATTTTCCTTTTATAGATTTTAAATAAATAATATGGAATTATTAGGATTTTATTAGTGTTAGGTTTAATTAGGTTAATTAGTGTTAATTCTTTTATTTTCATTAATCATTTGCAGTTTTTTAAAGTTTTTGTATCATTTTCGTTTGGGCCAGGAGTGGAGGCCCAGTTTGAGTTTTTTTTATCAGCAATTGGGTTTTTTGTCCAGAAGAAGTCCATTTGCGCCCAGAAGTTCCAGGAATGGTCCAGATCTTCCCAGCGTTATCCA